ATTAGAAAATCTATAACTTAAGAAGTTCAGAAAAGAGCTCAGAGACTTGTTGATAAGGGCCCTTTCCGAAACTTTTATTGCCAATCTCAAGGAGTGATTTATATTGTGTTGTGAGACATTTTTTTTAACTTTTGTGAGATTTTGTTTTGCAGTAAAACAGGTTGGATGTTATGGATTAATTGGGTGGTTTTTGTTGGGTACAGATTATAGTTAACTCAACTATCTTTCCAGTTCACCACTGGACAGTAGACACATGATAGCGGACGTACTTTTTAATTATTCTTTTCAGACAATTAAACATTTGAATGTGGTCTACACATACTTAAACATTTTCCAGGGAGTCCAGGGGTACAGCACCTTCTTCAGTGACACAAGCAGCAATATTTGTGAATGAGGCAAACAACAAAAAATATTTTTGTACCGTCAGACCTTATTTTTTACGGTGGTCTTTTCCCAATGTTCAGTGTTGGTTATTGATGAAATATTATTGTAGGGCCACGTGGGGCTGGGAGACAGTCTCTTCCCTTCGTGTGTGTGCTAGTTTAGGTCTAGCGCTGTAAGCCCCTGTCGCTGTGTGTGTACCTTTCTCTGGTGTGAGTTAACAAATGTGTTGTTCAACCCCATTCCCTGAGTCCCATGCCTGTTCCATTCCTCGCTGAACCCGAATTCGTCTACATTATCAATTTGTGCTTATGACCCATCACGTTATTTATGTTATGTTATTACATGTTACTGTTATTGCTATTATGTAACTGTCTATTGTCTTATCTTCTGTCCTATTTATATACTGCACCTGAGTGACTAATGAAAAACACTTTTCATTATACTATGCACCTGTGTAAGTTTAATGATAATAAAGTTGAATTGAATTGAATGTCTTGAGACCAAGAATCAGATTAAAACAGTAACGTGCAATTCACAGGCAGATACCTCAGAGAGAAAACAGTTTCAGAGCAGTAATGATAACTCGGTGTAACAGAGCAGCGGGATCAGCGTCAGTGACAAAACTGGGTTAGGTCACTAGAGGGCGGCTTATGTGAATATATAATTTTGCACTATGGTATTGGGGGATCGGTTTCATCTGTTCATCTGTGTGAACTGGTTTGTAAACAGTGGTTCTCAAATTGTGTTCTGTGTGAGTTCTCACATAGAAAAATAAAAATTCGCTATTAATAAAAAAATGTGTTACGAAACATTAAGCATATCTTCTGAAACGTCATCTTCAAATTAACTCTGGATAAATTTCTGTACTTTCGCTGCTTGAGCCAGAAGGCTCCTCAAAGGTGTCGGATGAAATTTCCTCTTCTGCTCTTCTATCTTGTTTGTAGATAAAAATGTTTGCCATTTCGCTACCCGGCAGCTCTCAAGACTCTAGTAATGAGAGAAAATGGCGTGTTACTAGGTAGAAAGATCGCTTAGAAATTGCTGCAACCACGAGAGAAAAAAAATGTGAAAAACAATTAAAAGACTTTGCGACTTCACGTCACAAGAAGCTGAGAAGTTCAATGACCTGATTTCAGCCTCTTCCGTACAAACAGCTTTTAATGAAGTGCAGTTGGCAGTGTTTTGGTGCAGCACCAAAAACGAATATCCAGTATTATCAGAGAAAGCTCTTGCTGTTCTTTGTGACCACTTATCTGTGTGAAACCGGATTTTCGTCGTATGTGTCCACAAAAACAAAGTATCGCAACAGTTTGGATGCGGAGTCGAACAGGAGACTGCAACTCACATCCATAACTCCAAATATAAAAGAAATGTAGAAATAGGAGGTAAACTCACTCATCACACCAAGATTGTTCTGTTTCTGCGGGTTTAGTAAGGTAAATTGGTTGATTAAACATGATCAGTACATGTTCAGGTGGGTAGCTGCGTCAGCATGCGTAGGTTGCAAAGGAACAAGTTATAGGTTTATTCCATGCTGAAGGTTTATTCCACGGCCGAAACGTTGTGTTCTCTTTCATCTTTATTTCAGCATGGAATAAACCTATAACTTGTTCCAGTACATCAGTACATTGCTGTCTCGCTTTGTTTTAGTCATTTTGCTGCCAACCTTTCCTATTTGCGCAGGGTTCGACCACATAAAGTGTCGTCTGTTTCTGTAAATCTATTAGTTTTTTTTTCCTTTGTTAACAATGCAAAAAAAAATAAAAGTTTTCAAATCAGAAGGAAAGCCTTCGAGTTTTCTTCTAATTTGGTCGAACCGGCTGTTAGAACTTTGATTCTTTTATTCTCAACGAGTATTTCAGTGATTAAGCTTTATTGAACTGTAGGTGTGCTAATCGTAGAAAGGTTATCATGTGATGAATCCATCCGTTTTCACTTCCGCATTTCCTGGTGAGGGTCGTAGTGAAGCCGCAAGCAACGACTGCAAGGCAGGGTACCCCCTGGAGAGGGCGCCACTCCATCACAGGGCAAGTGCAAGCTAATCATACACATGGGGACAATTTGGAGGCCACAGTAAGGGCTGAGGGGGGAAATTTGGCCCAGACACCGGGATACCTCCCTACTCTTCTCGAGAAATGCCTGGGGATCTTTAATGACCAATGAGAGTCAGAACCTTGGTTTAACGTCTCATCCGAAAGACAGCGCCCACTACAGTATAAGATAAGATCACTTTATTAGCCATATACAATTTCTTGCATTAGGAATTCATCTTTTCGCATACCCCAGCTTGCTCTCCATGAGACACACAGACAGGGAGAGAAGCTTGGGATCAGAGCGCAGGGTCAGCTATTGTACAGCGCCCCTGGAGCAGCTGGGTTTAAGGGCCTTGCTCAGGAGCCCAACAGAGTACGATTCCTCTGCAGGACGCGGGATTTGAACTGGCAACCTTCTAGCCACAGGCACAGATCCTTGGCCACAGAGCCACTGCTTCACACCATTAGTATAGTGTCCCTGTCAGTATACATATTGCATTAGGACCCACACAGACCGAAGGGTGGGCACCCCCCGCTTGTCCCACTAGCACTACTTCGAGCAACAACCACAGGTTTTCCCAGGAGGTCTCCAACCAGGTACTGACTAGGCTCAGCTCTGCTTAGCTTCAATGGGTTGTTGATATGGCTGCTAGCTGAAATAAACTCAATGGACTCATACGATGGTTACAGTTAAAACAAAAGCAATCGATAGTTTCTTCCTTAATAATTGGCTAAATTGCCTCTGAATAGCAGTCCTTGAATGCTTTTTGCAGAACACCACCATAGCTAATCCTGAAAAGTAAGAAAAATGTTGCTGGGGATCCACGACATTATCTTAGAAAGAAAAGGGTTCTGTCATCAAAAAAGTTTGAGAACCACGGCTCTAAAGGTTCAGGAGCCGGACGGAGGTTGTCTACGCAGGTTTGGGCTAGACCCTCGCAGTCAGGCTTAACAGTGAGAAAATAATTGCAACATCTGGGTATTACAGGAAGGTTTGGGATTTCAGGGCGTGGTGCCTGGAAGTAGGGAGACGCCTAGAACGAACAGAGACATCACGGAGCAGAGGGGTTTCTTGTGAAAGCAGGGAAGCAGGGAAAGTTCCCGAAGAGTAGCAGCCTCTGTCGTTTACAGGCAGCCCGCCTGTAAATTAAGAAAAAAGGAAGTACAGTAGGGCGGGCAAACAGGAAAGACCAAGTCTAGGGTCTGGCTTGCACTGCTGTTCCCCGAAAGGGACGAGAAAAAGGCGTGCGAGCGACTGACCGAGTTGTGGTTGGGGATGATTATTTGCAACAGCACGCAGACTAGGTATTTGAGTCACACTTCGCATTATACAGCACACAGGAGCTTTAGAGAAAGTGCACAGAAGACCAGTTATAAATGCATCTGACTACAGCAGTAATGTCATGCAACAGAGATAGTATAGGCCTGCAAAATGAGACACAATTAAAGAGTTTACTTTGTTTTTTTTTACCAAAGTAAAGCTGACAGTTTACTCAGTTTCTCACCGTGAATAGGTCAGTCCTATTCCTGGAAAACAGCAATCCTGATGCTCCCACACACAGCTGGGTGAACGACAGAGCCCAGGGGTACACGACTTTTGCAGTGATACAAACAGCAGTATTTGTGAATGGGATTTAAACATCGTGAGTCCTGAGCCCTAGAACAACTACTTCTGTAAGCTACACATCTTCCAGAGACAGAGCCAGAGCCATAATGGAAAAGTAGTAAAATAATTTAGAAATCTCCCTGGAAATGTATTTTTTAACAGAAAAGCGTGTGACACTGGGCCAGACAGATATTTCTTATCTGCTCCAATTCAAATGAGGTCAATGATTATGGCTATGTAGTGTTAATTTCTGTAACAAGGAACATCCCTGTTTCATGTTCCTATACAAATTAAATAAAATAGTTTAAACATAAATAACCCCTTTTCACCAAGAATTTTAATTTAGGTTTTTCATTGAGGACCTGAGAAGAGCTATTCTGGTAAAATAGAATTTTCTGGTAACAAATTCTATACTTATAGAACAGTATTTTCCTTTTTCAGCAAATCTTGGTTTTACATGTTCTAAAATAATAAGTTAAATGGAAATTGCCTGCCAAGGTAGTTTGTGATGCAAGACGTTTTAGTGTGAATGGACCTTCAGATTTTTGTTCCTCCCTGCTCTGCTTATTCGGCAAAAAGGAAGTGGGCTGCATTGTTTCAAGTTGTATTTAAGGATGCGTAACAAATGATTCGTGAGAAGTGTTGTGGAGTTATGGTTACACAACGGGAAACAAAACATGTTTAAATGAAAAGCCCATTAATGTACTTTTAATCAGCATCATACCTTAAACACAGCACTTAGGAAGCACAGACTGTAGATGAGACCGGTGAGAAAATACCCTTTATTGTTCTTTTTCTCATTTTTCACTGCTGCTGTTTTTTGCATTCATGCACTGTCATGTTCAAATCCACACACAATCGTCTTCATTGTAAAATGTCAGTTATCACTTTAGTGGAAAAATAAGAATCTGTGGCATCATTCCATTATTTGGATTTGCCACCGTTAGTTTATCTAGTAGCCAAACAAATGTAGTCTTTGGTCTGTCCTTAATAGTTGTCCTTAACCACTGTGGGCTTATCTGGTAGTTTGTGCAATGACAGTAGGAATGTTTTCTGACTTCTTCATGCATTGTTGTTCCTGTTCATTTGCCTGTTTAGCAGATATCCAGTTCTCTTTAAAAATAAAGTAATAGCATATTGCATCAAATAGGCAGTTGATGCTTGTTAGACAAATGCTAAGGTGAACGAAGTCCCGGAGAGGTTGAATCGATTCTGTAACTTTCTTCTTTGCAATGAAATACACAAGTGCTGCAATATGATATGGTGTGAAACATACCAAGAATGTCACAAGGTTAGAGAGAACAATTTTAACTGATTTGTTATTCTTTAATGTCTGGACCTCTGCTTTCCTTTTCCTCATTGTTCTTAAAGTTCTGATGACCTGGATCGAACAGAAGATCATGATGAGGGCACTGGCAGTGTACACGGTCTCCATCACGACCACTATGTGTACTTTTTCCCAGGTTCTATTTGAAAAACCTCGGAAACAGTAGGTGGCGTTCTTTTCGTGAAGGTTGTATACTTCCACGCTAGCTCCAAAAATGACAATCCATATTGTGAAACAGGCGACGGCAGCCTTTTGAGGTGAACGGAGGGTTTTTGCCAGGAAAGGATGTCTTAAGGCGATGTAGCGATCAACTGAAATGCATGTTATGAGCAGAATGCTCCCGTACATGTTCACATAGAGCAGGCTCTCCAAGAACGAGCACAGGGTGTTCCCCAGTACCCAGTTGTATTTGTAAGAATGGATCTTAAAAGGCAGGGAGAATAGCAAAAAGGAGTCATTTAAAATGAGATTTGCCAGATAAACTGTGGATTCCGTGCATTTTCGTATTTTAAAAAGCAGAATCCAAAGTGCAGATAGATTGAATACAAGGCCTACAACAAATGTTGGGATGTAGACTATCCATTGGATCCAGCACACCAAGCTGCACTCTTCATTGCCAGACATTCTGTGCTGAAAGAGAAAACATTCACGTGAGAGCTCCTAGAGCAAACATTGGTAACATAATAATAATAATAAATAATTGCTTACACTTATATAGTGCTTTTCTGGACACTCCACTCAAAGAGCTTTACAGATAATGGGGACTCCCCTCCACCACCACCAATGTGCAGCCCCACCTGGATGATGCGACGGCAGCCATAGTGCTCACAACACACCAGTTATCAGTGGGGAGAAGAGCAGAGTAATGTAGCCAATTCATAGATGGGGATTATTAGGAGGCCATGATTGGTAAAGGCCAGGGGGAAAATTTGGTCAGGACGCCGGGGTAACACCCGTACTCTTTTCAAGAAACACCCTGGGATTTTTAATGACCACAGAGAGTCAGGACCTCAGTTTTACATCTCATCTGAAGTACGGCGCCTGTTCAAAGTATAGTGTCCCCGTCACTATACTGGGGCATTAGGACCCACGTGGAGTGCGGGGTGAGCGCCCCCTGCTGGCCTCACTAACACCTCTTCCAGCAGCAACCTTAGTTTTTCCCAGGAGGTCTCCTATCCAGGTACTGACCAGGCTCACACCCGCTGAGCTTCAGTGGGCTGCCAGCTGTGAGTTGCAGAGTGACATGGCCGATGGCAGTACTTTAACTGAGTGTCCAAGGGTATCTTCTTACAGGGATGGCTTTAGGGCAAATTATGCCCAGCGAAAACTACACCCATGATGATAGCCATGGGCTGCTGTGGGTAGTGTCCTACAAAAATTCTACAACGTCCTACAAGTCCTACAAGGAAAACAAAAATTCAACTTTGGGAAAACTCAGTCTCCTAAAAAACGTTTTTTTTTTTACATCTGATTTTTTTTACTGTTGCACTCCTCTTCGCCAGCCCTTTTTTTTAATATGTAAGCCGTTGTTAACTGAGTTAAACACATATCCTTTCCTTTGCCCCAACCATTCTCCCATTCTGACAAATGCATTTGCACTCCAACTCTTTTCATTTTTAATTGAATTTTTTTTCTTTGAATGCACTCTTTGTCATGGTGCTCTGGTGGGGGAGCTGCCCACCTGTAAAGCTGGCCCTGAACGCGTGGCTGGACAGGGATTGTTCAGGCTGGCCCCAGTCACAGTGCACCCGTTCCTACATTAATCAAGTTTAATGTGTGGAAATCCTCATAGGCCATTTATCAAGTGGATAAGATCTTCCTCAATGAGCAGTGTGTCACTTATTGTTAATTATTCAGAAATGTCTACATGTACAAGTGATGTTCTGACTGTGAGTGATGTCCTTCTGAGCCTGGTTGACATGTGAAACTCTTCACAGGTGTCTGCTAGTTTGTGGAAATACAGACACATATGACCTTGTTTAGAAAGAGAGAAAGATATCTCAGAGTTAAAAGTAGGAAATGTGGAGCCAATGAAAGGAAAAAGGCTAATATGTTACGATAACATTTCAGTAGTTCTATGTATTTTATGTGGCCCAGAAGATCATCGGCGGTGGTCTCACAGAGATTAAACAGCTCTATGAGGACCGCTGCCATGGTTGAATTCTGGACATCACAAAGGACAGTCACCATCCCGGGCATGAACTCTTCAGACCATACGGACACTTGCCACCAGATTCTTTAATAGCTTCTGCTCTCAAGCAGTGTGATTAGCAAACACATTTGGCCATGCTCATCGGACCACACCTACACCATCTACCTCATTATAATTGTATTTATTGCACATCTGCAGTCATTGTTTACATTTCTGCATTGTTTAGACCCGAACTGTCTACTTGTTTACTTGTACATTGTCTACTTTCTGTCAGTAAGAATTCCATTGTACCAGTACATGCACCGGTTACATATGGCAATAGAGTTCAAGTTCAAAATCCAGTTAAATAGTATTAGCTCAGGGAACACAGAAAATAAGAACACAAGAAGCGTTACCCTTAAGAAGAGGTCATTCAGTCCTTCAGGTTTACTGGGTTGCTAGTAGCTAATTGATCAAAGATCTCACTCTACTGTCTCATTAAGGAAGCTAGGGTATCAGATTCAATAACATGGCTGGGTATCTTGTTCCAGCTATATATCACACAATTGTTTGACTTCCATTAATGCTACCTCATAATGTCTAGAAGATATTCTAAATCTTTGTAATAAGTAGCTCTTCAAGCATTGCTATTATGTGATCAGCAAATTATTTTCTTCCAACCAAACAACATACTGTAGATGCTTATTTGTAATTTCTTAAATATCTCTTCTCCACATCTTTTCAGTAACACATTTGTCCCAATAACGCTGGAGAATGCACAATATAATATAATCTTTACTTAGAAATGCCTCATCACGAAATCTTAATTTTAGAACTAGCTTATTAATTAACATTGTTGGCCTTTTCTCCTTTTTAAAAATATCGTTTCTAAGCCCCACACAGTGCACATTATGGCACACTTTAATTTGATGGAAGTCTTCCATTTGTTGATTAAATTCACAAACCACTCAAGTTACTTCTAACTCCCTATACACTAAAGTACAAGTACAATGAGACATTTGCAAACTTTGTAAACCTTTACATTCTTTGTATGGTTTTGTGTAATTGACTACTTGCTCTTTAACCTTTCAAGCTGATTTAATGAACATACTTGAATTTTTAAAAAGAAATGGATACAGAAAATACCTTAAGTCTGAGACATCATATTTAATTTATTCTAAAATCAAATAGATTTCAATGTGAAATATTTACTTACTTCATAGAAGTGTAGACAGGCTTGCAGTTCTAAAACAGATACCAGTCCTTGCAGAAAGGCATATTGAGAAAAACACACACACAAGTGTAAATTGTTTTCAGTTACGTAAATTCAACATTGCAAGTTCAACTTCCTTCTGTTAAAGATAAATGTGCTACTGCAACATGATATGCAAACATAATGATATGCAAAGCTTTTTTCTGTGGTTTTGGTTCTGCTTCAAGGTTTCACATCTCTGCTTTTATACGTACCAAAGGTTACAACATGCATTCATTTTTTGAAAGAGCTTGCAGAGGTGATGAATAGAAACATGGTTTCTATTCTCATCAAACGGTATTTTAAGTAAATGCAACATGCAGGACCATCACTATTTTTAGAAATATGCATGCATAGAAGGTGAACATTACTTAGCCCAGCTTAACTAATGTAGCAATTCAGTGAGACATTTCTCTTAAACAGGTAAGATAGCACACAAATTTACATCTCTGAGCTTTTTTCAAAAAGAAAAGAAGTCTCTTGAATCAATGAGGTAGCTAGCAGATGTATAAAAATTACCATTAATCAATACTTTCTTTTTCTAATACATTTGTTTCATCTACCTTACCTTTCATCTACCTTACAGACTTCATTAGCATGTTTGCATTGTCTGACCAAGCAACAATGGCAACATTGAGCCCATAATTCACTGCAACCTAAGGTATGGTTAACAGTAGACCTGAAAGCTACACATGCTGCAAAGCACGTGTTTTGATGTCCCTAGTTCTTCAAAAATGTTACTGTGATTAAACTACAGTAATTAAGTCAAATTACTTTGGATGTAACAGACAGAAGGAATGTATAGATTAGCAAACTGGAACTTGTGTTTCTCTCAAAGTCATTTTTCGGTCTGAAAGGCTGAAAAATAAGAAAAAAAATGACCTATCTCATGTAATTTTCAAAAAGCAAATAATAGTTTTCCTAAAGGAAAATGCTTATGGTCTTTCAAACCAGTCAATCGCTTGAATGATAAATGATATTCATCAAAAGGATGTCTTATATGATGAACTTTGATGAAGATATCGTGGATATCTTCATCCATGCTTATTTTTTTGGGGAAAGTGCCGTGATACATACATAATGGAATGAATCATTGTCTTTCTCCTAGTATTAGAATATACTGTATGTCTTCTGTTTTGTTTGTAAGGGGACAACTGAATTACTGTAGAGCTTTGACTATAAGTAAGACTATAAATATTATTTGCCTGAACTGAAGGTAATGACTCTTCTTGAGATGGCAAAAAGACAAAAATACAGACAGGTCGATGTTTAGCTCTTTCACAAGCAGTTCTGAGCGCTGAAAAGTATTTCATGCAAGTAGACTGGGTATACTTTTGCAAGTCATTTGGTTTTCTCTTCCTTTTTTTTCTCAGCCAATAGCTCAACAACTATTATAAAAGCTTAATATTATGAATTTGTAAAAACATTTTCACAGATTTTAAAGATTTAACCATTGATTTGATAATGGTGTTTTGTGTTTTTCCTTCTTTGCCTTCATTGTGCTCTACACACTGTGCCCAGGGATACAGTGAGAAAAATGTGTAGAGAACGTTTAGTGATATCCCCATTCCCATTACAGTCTGGTGTAGCAAAGCACTGTGAAGACCTATCCTATTAAAAACCTATCAAAAACCTTTGCTATTGGGAAAGCTAACCAAAATTGCAGAATGTCTCTGATAAGTTCACCCTTTAAAACTTTCATAAGGGCATGGATGACATTGCTCTGCATTACTTTTTTCCCTTTATTACTGTTTGTTGTCTCTTCTTACAAGCTATAACAAGAAAGTAATATTGCAGTGCATGCTCTAGGCAACAGTTGTATTCGTCCAATAAGGACAGTAGAGTGTAGGTTAGTGCATGCTTAAGGCATGGGACCTCAGTGCACTCGGTGAATAGTTCCATTGCATTTTCGTAAGTGTGCATGTACCCACTTGATGCTTTGCCCTGCTGTTGTTTTTATTTCCACGAAGGTGTGAGGGCATGAGACCCTGCAGGAAACAGGTGTTTTGAGAACATATGTGACAAGTGGATTTCCTTGCCAGATTTAGCCAGATAATAATAATAATAATAATAATAATAATAATAATAATAATAATATCATCCAGAGTTGTTATTTTTTTCTGTTCAATGTTGTTGTGTATTTTGGGTTTAATAGCTTGCCATAGACTGCAGGAATGGTTTGGGGAATGAGCAGCCATTATGTGTCGTTGAGTTGTCATGCAGTATGTTATCACCAATACTAAAATAAAGCACCAGCAGTTTTTACTTAAGTCTGTGTCCACTGACTCCCGATTCCCTATAGGAATGAGCTTTACAAACATAACAAATGTGAACTGCAAAAGAAACATCTTCGCTGCGTTACGTGCTGTCAGGTGCAGCAGCACATTTTTTGTTTTTGGCAGAAAACAATAAATATGAAATGATGACTATTCCAGAAACTGGAAGAGTTGTCAGTCCAAATTATTCTCTACCTGTCCATACAGCAGAGTGCAGATATCATAAATTTCAAAGAGCTCAAATGTTTTGGCAGATCAGACCTTATTGCACAGCAAATAGG